CGTCGGGTGTAAGAGTGCAGGGAAGTCGTTTAGTGGGTAGGGCCCTAAAATTCCTTGGGCCCACGGTCTGCTCCCAACACCCTGCAGATCGTCGAGTCCCACATACCCCGCGCGCCCCCTAGGCGCGGGGACATCGCAGGATGTTCGGCCCGAAAAAAAAAGAACAAAAGAAAAAATCAACCTTTAACAAGATTCGGACAACGGGCTAGTCAAATAATTCAATGTTAATACGTCGGGCGCCTCACCTAAGTCGTTTCAAACTCCTACAGCAATAAAAACCCGCTTTAACTTTCTAACAAAACATAAAGAGTTTTATAAGGCAATAATGATCCACTTAATCCGAACTCGACAGCACAAATAGGTCAACGAAATTGATTTGTCGCTCACCCCAACAGAGCAGTAACATTGATGGAGAAAAGCAATGGAATCTCTCTAGTGAGTGTAAATCACAAATGTCTTTTACTCTCGCTTGCAATCATGCTAAATTGAAACCTGTATTCAACTGGTAGGAAGTATTGAAATCTACTTTGAAATAATTTATGTCTGTATTATAAATTTATAATACATATATAGATTTTTTTATTGCTTAATTAATTTATGTTTTTGGGATTTTAATAGTTCGAATCTCAGGCGGGTACCAATTTTTCTAATGAATTACGTACACAACAAATGTTCACGATTGACTTCCACAGTGTAGAAATAACATCGTGTAATAAAAATAAAACCCGCAAAATTATAATTTGCGTAATTATTGGTGGTAGGACCTCTTGTGAGTCCGCGCGGTAAGTACCACCACCCTGCCTATTTCTGCCGTAAAGCAGTGGGGCAGCCTTGTAAGTATACTTGAGACCTTAGAACCTATATCTCAAGGTGGGTGGCGCATTTGCGTTGTGGATGTCTATGGGCTCCAGTAACCACTTAACATGAGGTGGGCTGTGAGCTAATCTACCCATGTAAGCAATAAAAAAAATAGAAATACTCGTATATGTAGAATGCATAGACTGTCTCAGTTTATTTATACCACAAATAAATGTATTTTATTCTCACTGCTAAATCGAAACCTTTTAACCTGTATTCAACTACTAGAAAGCAGAAAATGCTACTTCAAAACTGTTTATGTGTGCTGTTTGTTATGAGAAATTTAGGAGTTACTCGTACAAAATGCATTAACTGTCTGAGTATATTTATTGCATTAGATGCTCCGGCAATGACGTCACAAGACACCTGGTGCTGATGATTACCGGAGCTATGAGCTCACGTTTTTTTTTTTTATACGAAATTAATATTCCGTAATATACTATTGAAATTTTGAAACTTTTTTTTTGCTTATGTGTGTGGACGAGCTCACAGCCCACCTGATGTTAAGTGGTTACTGGAGCCCATAGACATCTACAACGTAAATGCGCCACACACCTTGAGATATAAGTTCTAAGGTCTCAGTATAGTCACAACGTCTGCCCCACCCTTCAAACCGAAACGCATTACTGCTTCACGGCAGAAATAGGCGGGGCGATAGTGCGGACTCACAAGATGTCCTACCACCAGTAATTATGCAAATTATAATTTTGCGGGTTTGATTTTTATTACACGATGTTATTCCTTCACCGTGGAAGTCAATCGTAAACATTAAATTTAAACTTTCGAATAATTAATTTATTTTAGGTACATTTAATCTTAATTACTTTTGTTGTTCGCTATGCGGCGAGTATCGAAACATTAAACAAACATTTTAATTCAACACCATTACCTTAGCTGAAGGTATAAGGCCACGATTCATTAGATTCTCGTTTCGTTGCACCTCGGTTTCAGATAGTCGATTATCGGATATTACGGAGCCGCAAGTGAATTCGCTCATTTAAAATCGTCACGACTTCAATATCGTAGTGAAGTGAAATTTTTCAAGTTTTGTCTTGCTTTTATGTAAGTAATACTCGAATCGGATGGAATTCGGTGAGGATATTAAACTGAGAATCATGATATTTGTAGATAGAGATTTGAATCAATGGGTCCGGTTTTTGGAACGAAGTTCCTTACGGCAGGCTTGGAGGGGATAGGGATTTTGCTGCGCGACCGAACTGAAAAAAATGTGATAGTAAAACCGTAAGAAAAAATCCGTGGAAAAAAGTGCGTGGAATAAAACCGTTAAATGAGACGTGCGCAGGCGCGACAGTCGTATACACAAGCGAGTAGTGTATAATACCTTTCTCTTTCNGGAACGAAGTTCCTTACGGCAGGCTTGGAGGGGATAGGGATTTTGCTGCGCGACCGAACTGAAAAAAATGTGATAGTAAAACCGTAAGAAAAAATCCGTGGAAAAAAGTGCGTGGAATAAAACCGTTAAATGAGACGTGCGCAGGCGCGACAGTCGTATACACAAGCGAGTAGTGTATAATACCTTTCTCTTTCTCCCTCTTTCTTTTCATTCTCTCATCCCTTCTCTCTCTATTTTGTAATTATTTCTATTTCTATGTAATTTTATGTTGTCAAACAAAAATAAAGAGACATATTTTTTGTTGTTATTTTAATTGATAATTTGAATTACGATTTTATTTTTATTTTACGTAATTTATTATTTCCTAAAATACTGAATTTTATAAATACTTTCCGGTACTTAAATAAAAACTAATCAGCAAAATTTAAGAGAAAAATCAAGAAAACCAACATAAAATTGAGCACGATTTTTTTTGCAAATTGTGTCGATTCTACATTAGCCGAAGAAACTTCGTTCCTACCTGGTGTCCCACGACACCACATTTGCTTTGTTTTTTAGTAACAATAGCAGAATTAGTCACTATATGTTTCCAAATTTAGCTTTGTTAGTGCGTTTATTTTGTGGAAAATTCTATCTTTGTTAGTGCATTTATTTTGTGGAAAAAATATAGTTGAAGCCTTATTCTATTGCGTAAATTATATTTTAACATACCATTTCTCGAGTTGCTTCGTGACAGTCGTAACAACGTTGAGTTGTAATGGTAGTAAAAGATAACGTTTTTCCAAGTGATGTTTAATTCCTCTAGAGATCAAGAAGGATCGCAAAAAGGGAATACACACAAAGAATACTTAAGTAGAATAGGTAAAAATAAATTACTTTACTCATAAACATTTTTGAGTGACAGCTGATAGAATACATATAAAGAAAACGAAGCAAGGAGCAATAAGCAGAATCGAAATTTATGTTATTGTTATTTTTCGATTTTAATCACATTAAAAATGAAACGGGGCATCTGGTGTTCTTCTAAAAGGCAATAATATAAACTCGAACTTAACAATGGCATTCTTATGAAACAACTAGCTATACCCGCCCGCTTCGCTGGGAATTTAAAATTAACATTATTATTTCTCACCCCCACAAAGATTCTCATCATTAACGCCCCCGCAACTGGTGTAGGGAGTCCAACGCTCATATAAATATTAGCCTATCCATTAAGTACATGTATTTTCTACATGAATACCAAGTTTCAAGTCAATCGGATGCATGATTCAGTAGTTATAACGGAACATCCATAAAAACCACTGCAGTTTTATATACCTAGTCAGGTCATAAGTATTGTTACACAGTAAAAACTTTTCTTTTAGAATGCTGGCCACAAAAAAGTTTATTGAATTCGAATTTCGAATTGTTCATGAAAATAAAAATGTATACTTTTAGAATTTTACTCATTTTTAAATATGGAGTGGGCGCTTAAAGAAGACCGTGTTGCAGTTATTGCGTTGCATCGTTGCGGTTACGCGCAAATTAAAATTTTTAACATACTGAAAAATTTGAATAAAACCAAAAGATTCGTTTATCGTACCATCAAACGATACAATGAAGACTCTAGTGTAGATGACAGGTCAAGAAGTGGTCGCCCTCGGTCTGTTAGGACTCCAGCAGTGATAAAAGCTGTGAAGGCGCGAATTCAAAGAAATCCCAAACGTAAGCAGAAACTGTCGGCCCTTCAGATGGTGTTAAGCAGAACCACGGTGAAAAGGGTGTTAAATGAAGACTCAGGGCTTCGGGCATATCGAAGAAAAACAGGACATCGTTTGAATGCTCGTCTAGTGGACCTGAGACTGAAGAGATGCCGCGCTTTGTTGAAGCGGTACACGGGAAAAAAATATCGGGAAATTCTTTTTTCGGATGAAAAAATTTTTACCGTAGAAGAGAGCTACAACAAACAAAATGATAAGGTGTACGCACACAGTAGTGAAGAAGCGAGCAACCGTATTCCGCGTGTCCAACGAGGTCATTTTCCATCCTCGCTCATGGTATGGTTGGGAGTTTCTTATTGGGGCTTAANATTTTCCATCCTCGCTCATGGTATGGTTGGGAGTTTCTTATTGGGGCTTAACAGAGGTACATTTTTGTGAGAAAGGTGTAAAAACGAATGCAGCTGTGTATCAAAATACAGTCCTGACGAACCTTGTGGAACCTGTTTCTCATACCATGTTCAATAACAGGCACTGGGTATTCCAACAAGATTCGGCGCCAGCTCATAGAGCGAAAAGCACACAAAACTGGCTGGCGGCGCGTGAAATCGACTTTATCCGGCACGAAGACTGGCCCTCCTCCAGTCCAGATTTGAATCCGTTAGATTACAAGATATGGCAACATTTGGAGGAAAAGGCGTGCTCAAAGCCTCATCCCAATATGGAGTCACTCAAGACATCCTTGATTAAGGCAGCCGCTGATATTGACATGGACCTCGTTCGTGCTGCGATAGACGACTGGCCGCGCAGATTTAAGGCCTGTATTCAAAATCACGGAGGTCATTTTGAATAAACTTTAGTGTCATAAGAATCTATGTTTTGTTAAGTTCATTTTGGTATATGAATGGTTACATAATGAATAAACTTGTTTCAATTATTTTACATTAAACATGTGACAGAATTTATGACCTGACTAGGTATTAGGATAGATAATACTTAGTAACATTTAAGTTAACTGTAACTGAAAGCAATATTTTAATGGATTAATAGTCTCTAGTTACTTAATTAAAAATGTGTTATTATTGTTACAGGAGAACTATGGAAAATGAGAGAAGAGTTGAACAATGACAGTATGTCCCAGCCGCGAGCGATGACCCTGCAGGGCGCCAGGGATCGCGCAGCACCGGCGGCGGCGCCCCAACGCACATCCCACATTTCTTTTTTTTTAGAAAAAATCACGCTTATTAGGCTATATCTACAATTAATACAGGCGATAGCATACTTACACCGGAAGGCCAGTGTGTCATTTCAGCAACTACGTGTGAACTTTAATTTATCAAAGCGTCCTCTTGTTAAATTAAAAGAAACCGTGAATGTATTTAGCCTTAGAACTAGAACTGTATATTGTGTAGTTAAATCGTTTTTAGTGACAACGTTAGTGCAATTATTCATTGTTGCCAAGTGCGGGGTGTGTGTCGCGCGGTCGCGGTGTCGGCGACGGTGCGAGGTGGCCCGTTTGCTGTTTCTGCTATGGTTGAGCGCTTGTGGGGGCTATAGTGAAGGAAGACGCGACAACGACCTGCATATCGGCGGCATTTTCCCTATGGAGGGTGAAGGTGGCTGGCAGGGTGGCCAAGCGTGTATGCCAGCCGCAGAACTCGCGCTCGCCGACGTGAATGCCAGATCGGACCTATTATCCGGATTTAAGCTACGTCTGCACAGCAACGACAGCAAGGTATCTATTTTATTGATATTCCACTTAGGCCTTGTAAATAAAAAAATGTCGTACACGGGGTTTTCCGAGCGCTATGACATGTCCTTCTTCAAACAAGGCTTGCGGAGATTACTTAATGGTAGGCAGCGGCTTGGCTCTGCCCCTGGCATTGCTGACGTCCATGAGCGACGGTGACCACTTACCATCAGGTGGGCCGTATGCTCGTCTGCCTACAAAGGCAATAAAAAAAAACGCTATTAATTGATTTTCCAATGCAGCACAACGCAAATCCTCCCGGAATACGTCCGCGTAATTCATAAAGATAAAAACCATCGTCGTCATCACTGCCAGAATTGTAATTAACAAAACGAGTCCCGTATCTTAATCCGATAACGGGCGGCAATAAATCTGAAATGAACTAAACTCATAGGCCTATGATATCGCAAGAGGGCGAAGCTGACGTTCGATTCAATTATTGAGAATTTATGAATGGCTCACGGAAGAAAATTTTATTGGGTAAAATTTCCGAGCAGGTTGACGGTAATTTCCCATCTATCGATTTATACCTATAATATGACAAATTGCCAAAGTGAATTCATTTTGATATCGATAACGACGATTGCTCTGGAATTGTTTGTAAGGGACGTTTTATTGTACAATGGGTGGATTATTCGGAATGTAGACGGCAGCATAGATTTATTTAATAGATTGGAGTTTTGAAGTTTATATGTATATTTTTGAAGTCGTCACAGCCTAAAGGCTAAGAAGCCGAGGTATCGAGCTATGCCGGTGTTCAAACGCCACAGCCAAGTACCATTATTTCTAATGAAATAATAGGTTGGGGAAAACGCTTCTTCGCATTTTTTAAGAAAATCCAAAACATTTTTAATATAGTTTATTTACATTTAACTAAAGTGTGTAGGTACCGTTTTGTACGATAAATTTTTGCCATCTTGTATAGAAATTTTGAGACTTCTAATCAAAATACCGCGACAATTGGTTTTGGCTTGCGTTCCATTTTACCTTTTTTGTAGTTAAATTTTAAAATACATCGAATTTCTTCATTAGATTCACTCATCTGGACAGTACGAAAAATAAATAAAATCAGACATTTTCCTAATTTGAATTTGGAATTATCTTCTTTAAAATTTAAACTTTTAGTGATACCAAAACCAGCCAGATACAAATATAGCCAAAGAGATTTTATTACAAGCTCATACATACTATAATGCGAAAAGAATTTTCCCCAACCTATTATAATTTTGCGGGTTTGATTTTTATCACAAGATGTTCATGTTTATTCTTCACCGTGGAAGTCAATCGTGATTATTTGTTGAGTACATATTTCATCAGAAAAATTGGGACCCGCCTGGGATTCGAACACCGGTGCATCATTCAAAACGAATGCACGGACGTCTTATCCCTTAGGCCACGACGACATCTGCTTGTTTCTGTCGGGAACCAGTAGTTTATTTAACTTTGAAGACTGGAACAGCCGTTACATTGTACAGTTAACACACAGACCTCAAAGTAGTGGAGTTGCCATTGGCATCGACAGCATGAGCAGCTACGGAATGTTAAGCGATATCTAGGGACCATAGGCATCGACGTCAATGCGGCTACTCAACCTGAGACTTCTCAATCGCACTTGGACGAAAATAAGTGAATGAACGTTCCACATTAAATAGCTCTTTGTCTAGGCTGCGTCTTTGGTTCTAAATACACACAAAACACAAAAGTGAACATCACGGAAACTTCATGGACACAATCCAGGAGATTCTCGCCGAATCTTCTCAGAGAGTCACGATTCCGATCCGGTGGTAGATACTATATTAGATATATAGATGTGAGCAAATTCTTTCAGGCTGAACCCCGTGAGCTCACTCACCAGTCAAGGAGAAACCAGAATAGTCCTATTCTCCTTGCGTCGGTTTCTTCATTACTGAGGGTCGTGGTCATAGCCAGAATAGTCCTACTGGCAGATATAATGTAAAAAGGGACTCATACATTTTTTGTTTACAAAAATACTATTTATGGATGCGTAGGGGTATTCACAACCATTGTGTCTATTTTTGAGGCAAAGAAGTCAAGCGTTCCAATTTGAAGAGTGGAATAAAGGTTATAGTAAGTAGGTCGCCGTTTGGCTTTGCCTCTGGCACTGCTGACTTCAATGCGTGGCGGTTTCTGCTTACAGTCGTAGTGTTTTCTTCAGCATTCGCGAGTCGTGATGATAAATAAAACCACTTAAACGGTTCAATTTCGCGTTTTGACGTTTCAAATACTTTAACTACGTTTTCGTGATCGCGAACGACTAAAGTGTTATTCGTTGAGGTGTGAATACTGTGCTAGCTGAACTAGCAGATTGAGTTCACTAGCTCGTCTGCTAACTCAGTTCACGCGCAAGATAGTGACAAAAATACGAGATTATACTGTAAAAAATGATTTTAATTATATGTACTACCGTCAGATGGGCACGCTTATCTGCCTACAATGGCAATATTATAAACTATTGATACAATGCAAAAGAGACTTCTATATGATATCTATGAGCACCAGTTAGTATTTACGTACCTAATAGCCTTAAGCGCATATATAGTAAACAAAAACTTGTTTTAAAAAATTCCAAGTATAAACAAGTAAAAGAATTCCTCCTATATTAATCTCAAAGTTTTACGGAATTTTCTTTGCCCTTCAGTGCGAACCAGGGTTGGGAGCCAGCGTCATGTACAATTTACTGTATAACCCACCGCAAAAATTGTTGCTGCTAGCAGGATGTTCGACAGTTTGTACTACAGTCGCGGAAGCTGCTAAGATGTGGAACCTAATGGTCGTAAGTACTATATTTGTTAAATTTATTTATCGTTATTTAATTATATGTATATATATGTATGTATGTTTAATTTATTTACAACAAGCTGTACTCGTCCGCTTCGCTGGGCATTTAAAATTAACATTATTATTTCTTACCCCCACAAAGATTCTCATCATTAACGCCCCCCACTGGTGTAGGGAGTCCAACACTCATATAAATATTAGCCTATCCATTAAGTACATGTATTTTCTACATGGATACCAAGTTTCAAGTCAATCGGATGCATGGTTCAGTGGTTATAACGGAACATCCGTAAAAACCACTGTAGATTTATATATTAGTATAGATTTATCGCTCAAACGGTTAAACTAACTCACATCACAATTCGACCAGTAACGGGTAATTACCCAAATCATAATTTTTGCATGTTTAGATTTTATGGTATTATTTCTTAATCGTGAAAATAATTAGGGAGCAATCCTAGCTAAGTATGTATTCCAGTAGGGAATTTGATAATTTGTCTACGGGATTTGAACGCTAGCATACTCAACGTCACATCACTCGACATCTTATCACTCTTGTCCTTTAGAATCCGACGATTTCAAATGGCACAAGGTACATGACACAAACATATTATAGAACAAGGGACAAGAGGAAATAAACGAAGCTTTAGTATAGACAATATATATACAAAATTAATGTCCTGTTATTTAGTCTTATCGATTGCCGCCTAAATTTCATAATTTCTTCAGCTTTACTGAATATAATTTCCATTATAAATAGTAATTTCCGCTCCAGAACTTAACATTTCCAATCAAAAATTCATTCACAAATAACTCCAACTTAATATTTATAGCTAATTAAATACACAAATGACGCTTGTATTATCCAAACAAGATAATCACCGAACTGCCTTTGATATTGAAGACGAAGTTACAAGAGAGTAACAAGGTCAAGTCAAAGGGATCCAAGTTCCCGTGTTGACACTGACGCGGTTGGAAATGTGCCAAAGTATTTGTTTCCAAGTGTTTTGGTGTATGTGAAGCCGGCTTTAGGAATAGCCTTAACGTTTTATGTAGCGGTAGAAATTACACAATGGTATACTAGTGAGGAAACACGAAGCTTCTTTTTGGGTTATTACTTTTGCCTTGCATACTATAAGATATAGTCTACTACAACCGCAAAATTACAGTACAGAAAACAAACACTAGAGTAATTCTCGTTATTAATCTAATCGTTTCTAATTCAAATTTTAATATAAATTGTTTTGTGCGATCCGATCTTAACAAGCAATTGAATATCATTGTCGTGCGACAGGGAAATTTCAATAACGAAGTCAATCTGGTAACAAGACACGTGTTTGAATTGCTTATGATTTTCAAATGGGTTACAAGGGTTGTTGATAAATATTAAGACCTGAAGTATAATTGATTTATAGTTTTGTACCAAAATTAAGACATTAATTAATAAGACATATACTGCTTAAAGAAAATCACGAGACATTCTTTTTTTTTTCATTGTCCTTGTACGCAGACGAGCATACGGCCCACCTGATGGTGAGTGATTACCGTCGCCCATGGACTTCAGCAATGCCAGGGGCAGAGCCAAGCCGCGGCCTACCGCTAAATTCCATTCACTGGACTTTCATTTGTTTATTGTGTACATTATTGAAGGAACTCACATCCACTTTGCTTAACGTCGTTAGTGTAATTTATATATATCACAACGTGGATTCCGCCAACCACATTGAGACATGGGGTCGTAGTCTCATAATTTAATTCCAAAGCCTATCCCACCCTTCAATGGAAGACATGACTGCCGTGTCAAATAAATGGGGAGGACGGTGGTACTCACCCGTATAGGCAGCTACAACCAAAAATATATGTCCTATGCCCTACCACCAGTAATATGTAAACTATAAACTGAGACCTTACAACTCAGGTCTTGAGGTTAGTGGCGGCATTTACGTTGTAGATATATATGGGCTGCGGTTACCACTTAACACCAGATGGGCCGTGAACTTGTCCACCCATCCAGGATATAATAATAATAGTAAGTAGTAATAAATTTTACGGTAGGCAGCGGCTTGGCTCTACCCCTGGCATTGCTGAAGTCCATGGGCAACGGTAACCATTCACCATCAGGTGGGCCGAATGCTCGTCTACCTACAAGGGCAATAAAAAAAAATCTAGTAATAAAAAATATTTATCATTCTAGTCAGTTATTATTACATGAACATGCAATGTGGCAAGAAGACAACTGCTAGACGCCTCCCGAACTCCCTTGAAACTACGCGGATAGCCCGCATCCACTAATATTTAACTGCAGGCAATATTTAGACTGCGGGAAATTCATTATAATATTTTGGACATTTTGTTGTTTTTGTTCCCCAGTTTTTATTAATGATTACAATTTTCATCGTTACACTCTTAGCAGAGTGGTCGTGGCCGCCATACCCCCCATAAAGTTTCACTAACTAAAGTACCCCCATAGTAACCCCATAAAGTTTTACTGGTGGTACGACCTATGAGATGAGATAAAATTATGGTGTTAAGTGGTTACTGGAGCCCATAAAAGGTCTCAGTATAGTTACAACGGCTGCCCCGCCCTTCAAACCGAAACGCATTCATTACTGCTTCACGTCAGAAATAAGCAGGGCGGTGGTACCTACCCGTGCGGACTCCCAAGAGGTCCTACCACCAGTAATTGCGCAAATTATAATTTTGCGGGTTTGATTTTTCTTACACGATGTTATTTATTCCTTCACCGTGAAAAAAAATTCACCAATAAGGTTTGTTTTTATTTAAGCTGGTCTTGTGTTTTAGTTGTGCTATGGAGCATCGTCGCCAGCGCTGTCGGATCGGTCTCGTTTCCCGACGTTATTCCGAACGCACCCGTCAGCAACAGTCCACAACCCGACGAGGATCAAGCTGATGCAGAAGTTCGCCTGGTCACGAATCGCTATATTGCAACAGGCTGAGGAAGTTTTTATTTCGGTATGTACCAAACGTTAATTTAAAGCTATACAAATATTTTGTTTTAGAACGAACTGGATATAAACTTTTTTTTTAAGACAACCACGCCATGTTAAGTAGTCCCGTCGTAAGTTCGTAAAGAACTTGTGTTACAGGTACCAGATAATGGAAATAAATGTAAGATTTTTATTATACACATACATATATTTAATGGAGGGCTCAGTGGTGTGGATTGGGAGAGGCCTATGTCCAGCAGTGGACGACTGTGGGCTGTTGATGATGATGATGATGATGATATATTTAATATACATCCATAACCCTGAAAAAGACATTTTATATTATTCATACAAAATATCTTACCCTTGGCGGGATTCGAACCCGCGACCACCTTGTGTAGTGACCATGTCACTTACCACTACACCAGACGGCCCCGTGCGTACGATAGGTATCCTACCGCGGAAAATCGTATTCGAATGCGTGCGCTACAACGCGACGTAAAGTCTCGCATCACCGAAGTCCGAGATGCCAGATGGTCTGATTTCTTAGAAGGACTCGCGCCCTCTCAAAGGTCTTACTACCGCTTAGCTCGTACTCTCAAATCGGATACGGTAGTAACTATGCCCCCCCTCGTAGGCCCCTCAGGCCGACTCGCGGCGTTCGATGATGACGAAAAAGCAGAGCTGCTGGNGACGTCATCTGGAGGGGCAACTCGTCATCTGGAGGGGCAACCGACCGACCAGCGGGGACATCACGCCACCTCGGATCACTTTTGCTGGAAGCGCGCGCAGCGTTCACTTGTCTTAGATTTAATATTCTGTGTCGATCGTTCCTACCCACTTTTGTATTTTTTTTTATTTATTTAAATTATTAAGCCGTTGCTAAAAATATATACATATATAAAAGATTCCTTTGATGTGACCCCCGTCGAACGGATTTCTTTTATATTTTGTTTTAAGTTTATTTTATATAAAAGTGTAGTTTTTTTATTTATCGATTGAGACACTACGTAGTCTGCCGGGTCAGCTAGTATTATATGATATTACATATCGATTTACATTCTAATCAATGTAATAATTTTGTTAATCTTATATTTTGTTATCCGATCTAAATTTAGAAGCCAATGCGCAAGAGAATGATCATGCTGTACAATTCAGATACAAAATTATTAAATACTAGCGACCCGCCCTCGCTTCGCTTCGGAAACATTAAATTTTATTATTGATAGATTTATATATTAGTATAGATAGCGGAGTCCCTCGATGTTACCCGCGGTTATTATCGTACCGTGGGCGACGCCGCGGGGCGAAACTAGTCTAAAAAAAATAGCCTAAGTTGCTTCTTATATCAACAGCTACCTATCAGTGAGAGTCGTCAAAACGGGTCGAGACATTCTAGAGATTATCTGGAACAAACAGAAAGACAGACAGGCACACAAAAAAAAATGGTATATGTACTGTGGCATACATACTTACACATTTAGTAAAAAGTGGTTGTTTATTACAAAGAGACACTCCTATTTTATTTATTTGTATAGATTAAAATTACATACTGTCCCGACGTGTATATTTGTTGGCTCGTGTTGACACCAAATCTGCGAAATTAACTAGAAAATATAATGCGGTACGAGTGGCCACGCTTCTTAGCTACAAAATGTACATAATTAGAAAAGTTTTTACGAGCGGCGCCCTCGCAAGTCGACGGTTGTCACCGACTGACACCGCGACGCGCCGGACCGGGATTATAATTTTACTGAACAAATTATTTAGGAATACCGTCTATATTTTTTTATGCTCGACTGTACTTTTCAGCGTGGTTGTTTCGTTATTTTACTGATACAACGCGCAACGGTTCAACTTTGAGACACGATATTTGGTCATAAACGAAAGTCATTAGACGCAAAAAAAAATATATACACAATACCTGCAAATACAAATTAACATTTCGACATTATTAATTATTTAAATTATTTAGGAATACCGTCTATATTTTTTTATGTTCGACTGTACTTTCCGGCGTTGATTGTTTCGTTATTTGACTGATACAACCATCGAATATATCGATGGATACAACGCCTAAAGGTTCAACTTTGAGACACGATATTTGGTTATAAACGAAAGTCATTAGACGCAAAAAAAATATACACAATACCTGCAAATACAAATTAACATTTCGACATTATTAATGATTTAAACTGGTAATAGTAATTCGTGACTTTCTTATTTACGCTAAAGTTTCTTATGGCCCTCTGCAATTCTTTTGTTCTGTAAACTGCATTATCTGCAATACCGTCTTTACCATAAGGGCACACGGGGCCCGTGCCCAGGGCCCCCATTCTCAGTGGGCCCCGAAAGACCGACAATTTCTCTCACACGTTTATTCTCAAAACATTTTTGTCGGACACATTACACTTTTTTCACAAATCAGTAATCAGAAGGTATTTACAAGGCATATACTATGCCTATAATAGAAGATTTTGCTCAACAGAAATCCCGAAAGAAACCGTTATCGAAATCGTAACCAAAAAACGAGCAGCATTCTAATATCATTAATGACATTATATCATACTGTATTTGATTACCTATAATAAATGGTCATACTCAGTAAAAAAATGTTATTATAATTCGCTTTTTTTACTTTCCAAAAGGGCCTCAAATTCTTGTGTGCCCAAGGGCCCCATCCTAGTTTAAGACATCCCTGATTATCTGGCCATAAAGGCATGTTTAGTTCAAATAAAGATTTAGCTCAAAACCTTAATACGATCGTCAAGTAAATTATCAGCTTATTTTGTAGCGTTAAGAAATAACCAAACCATTCAACTCTCACATAAATACCAACGTTTGTACATTTATAGCATCGGAACCACACTAAGCTCTTGTTCCGGGAGCCCTCTCTTATATTGTGTCGTGTGATAAAAGCCGGTTTTAGTTCCAGTTCAATCTATTGACTGTGTTCCAAATAGTCTGCAATAAAAATAAAGACACAAAAACGATTCTCAGCTCACGGAATACGCACAGTTAACTGGCTTATTATAAAAATTATTGCCGTTTTTGGCACGGAACCACGTCGTTTTCCTTGTACTAAATGAGCATAATAATTACGAAAGTTTTTATTACGAATCGTGTGCCAAATCCTTCGACGATCATATCACAAAGTCGTAGTTGTAATCTTAACTGTGAGTCCGATTAAAATTTAATAAATCTATATATTAATACGTGAAGCAAAAACTTTGTATCCCATTTTACGAAAATTGCGAAGACGGAGGAGTATGAAATTTTCCACACTTATAGAGAATATAGAGAAAAAGTGCACAATGCCTAATTTTTTTAAAATAATGTATATTACTTTAAACCAATAAAGAAAACATTACACACGCTACATACCATATATTTGACGCACACACGCATGCATACTATTTACTGTCAAACTTTTGTTCTTGACGTCTGTGGTCAAATTGAGATAAGGTTAAATATTATTTGTCTTTGTTAATATTTTTTATAGTATAGTCTTGGCGAAATTTGTGATTATAGAAGTATAAAATACGATCATAATAGTGTACAAACTTACAGTTCCAATTAATTATAGTCCAATTTCGACTACTGCGGGACCTCTAGTAGATATATTCTTCTTCTTCTTCCAGTGCCTCTTCAATCCTGAAGGTTGGCCGTTAGCTTTCAGTATTCCTTTCTGTCAGCAGCCAGCCGGCACAGCTGTTCGACGGAGGCAATACCGGTCCACTCCCGGATATTCCGGAGCCATGACTTTTTTCTTCGCCCAGCACGTCTCTTTCCATCCACTTTGCCCATAATTATCAGCTGCAGCAGCATGTATCGATCGTTCCTGAGCACGTGGCCGAGATACTCTATCTTGCGCTTTTTGATATAGCTATTAGATAATTATATAAATGTATAAATAAAAAAAACCTATTTCAAGAAACGTCCCACGACACGCCGGGTACATGAAACGAACTATATACGTCTCAACTAACCGTGACAGATATAAACTCAGCTCAAAGCAGATTCACGGAATAATATTGTTGTGGTTTCCAAGCGAACAGATTCACGCTGCCAAGTTTAATACCCTCAATAGAACAACGTAACAATGAAACTATTATAATAAACTAATTATATTTTCAAATCGATATTGTACTAACCGTTCTATAATGATTTATACCAAATGAAAATGGGAATGAGTATTAGAATGAAATAATTCGACGCTAATGATTGCTCTATACGCTAAGTTATGTTTTGATAATGACCGCCGAATAGTACAGCTTATTTGACATGAATCCTTTTAATGACTATGGGTGTTGAGTAGTCCATCAGCATGGGTAGATTATTTTATATTTAAAACGACTTTTAGGGTTCGATCCCGCGTTTTTTGATTGTCATTATAATTTTAATACATTATTGCCGACATTTAAAATACTACACAGTTTTCGCGGTCACGTGCTTTTTGTCACGTCACGTCACGCATCACGTCACTAGTCTACGACTCGTGAAAACCGATCGAAGTACAGGATCAGAAGAAAGGCAGAAGACAGGCACAAGGAAAGCGATAAGTAACCCTGTCGCCAAGAATAAACTTAGGTGTAGATATCATGAATTATGTTTATAAAACAAAATTTGCTGGTACTGCTGTTGTCCTTGAGCGACGATGATTGCAAATCAAGTGGACGGTGTACTCCTCTGCTTACACTGGTAATAAAAAGAGTTGTATTGTTAAGTTAGGTCTTGGCAACAAAGGATAAATAAATACATATCATCATCATCATCATCTCAGCCTGTCGACTGTCCACTGCTGAACATAGGCCTCTCCAAGTGATCTCCAGTGCGGCCGGTCCGTTGCCACCTGTATCCAACGTGACCCAGCGATTCTTACCAGGTCGTCGGTCCATCTCGTAGGTGGCCATTTTTTTTTTTTTTTTATTACTTAGATGGGTGGACGAGCTCACAGCCCACCTGGTGTTAAGTGGTTACTAGAGCCCATAGACATCCACAACGTAAATTCGCCACCCACCTTGA